CTCTATTCCCGCTTCCATATGTTCATCCATGTGGCTTTACCCTAGTCTTCACTGTCCCCTAATCTTCCAAGCTTTCTGCTTCCAGACCCTTGACCAGATGGCCAAGCTATGCAGCACTGCTCACGAGTCCCTATGCATTCTAATTTCAGGCCACTTCTCTTTCTAGATAACGTGGCTGACCAGGTGGGAGGATTTCTCCTTACTACTGTCTTTCAAGACCATGCTGAGTGGGACAGCATTGCAGTCATCATACATTTCTAGCTTGCACCAACAAACCAAGTCAAGCTTTTTGTGAATCAAGCTCAAGCTTTTTCTGCTTACATCAACTGATCATTGAGGATCCCCTCATGCAGTAAGAAATGTGAGCTGAGCAGTGGTATACTGGTAAATACTTAATAATCAGCTTTCTGAAAAGGAGAAAAAATATCTGGTTTATACCATTAGCTAATTTTCATGGTGTAAATACTTCCAATATGGTCAATTTCAAACTACCAATGTGATGTCAACAGGATGTCAGCATTCCTGAAAATTTAACAATGAGCTCTCATGAGCTGGTACAGACTGGCTCCAGCATACCACCAGGGGCTGTGTAACAGTGGTGGGTGATATGAACTACTTGCATGCCACCTGATCTTGCAGCTTGCTCGTGTCCTCTGGTTTTATTGACAGTCAACCATAGAAATATCACTTCCATCTGGGCCTGTCCACCTTATGGGTTAGAGAGTGTGATAGAACCAAACTCATGAGGGGGAGCTCTGGTGTCATGGTCAATTGATGCTCCATGGTGAGGCCCTTGTCTCTAGCAGGCCCTGGTAGTACTCCAAGAGCTGTTTTATGAGAGGTGTATAATTCTCCATTGAAGCTGGTATGGCTTTGAATCCTATGGATCCACACTGTGATTCTCTATTGGGGCTTGATATAAAATCCACGTCATCTTTTCCCACCACTGATACTAATATTATAGGGTCTTCTAGATTCTGAATAACAACTTATATGGCAGGCTCCTGAATCTTTTAAGGTTTAGCTCCCTCAAGAGTGCATGTGAATTACCGAGGCCTCTAACCTCCTATCCACTTCTTGTTCATTTGGTCCAACTAGCATGATGTCATCAATTTACTGGACCAGTGTGATATTCTGTGAGATGTCCAGCTGGTCCATGTCTCTTCAGACTACGTCATGACAGAGGACAGCAGAGTTAACATAGCTCTGGGGCAAGGCTGTAAATGGATACTATTGCATGTTCCAAAGGAATGTGAATTGTTTCTGATTCTCTTTTGGATAGGGATAAAAAGAGTTGATTTGCCAGATCATTGGCCACATATCATGTACTTGAGTCCATTCTAACCTGCTCTAGCAAAGATAACACACCTGACACAGCAGCACAATTGGGGGATACTGCTTGGTTAGGTTTATGATAGTCCACTGCCATTATCCAGAATCTGTCTGGATTTTGTACAGGTCAGACAAGAAAATTAAATGGAGGTATGATGGGGACCACCACTATCCACGTTTTAGGCCTCTAAGGGAGGCAATCATTTTTACCTTTTTTCTCTCAGTTTTTTTTAATGTGGTAAAATATATATAACATAAAATTTACCATCTTAGCCATTTTTAAGTACATAGTTCAGTGGCATTAAGTACATTCACATTATTGTGCAACCACCACCATCATTCGCCTCCAGAACTCTCAGCGTCTCATTTCACTCAGCATATCTTCAAGGCTCATCTATGTGGTACATGTGTCATATTTTCATTCCTTATTAAAGTTAAATAATATTCCATTCTACCATTCCACCTCCATCATTCACCTCCAGAACTCTCCGCATCTTATTTCACTCAGCATGTCTTCAAGGCTCAACTATGTGGTGCATATGTCATATTTTCATTCCTAGTAAGGTTAAATAATATTCCATTGTACATGTATATCACATTTTCTTTATCTATTCATTCGTCAATGGACATTTGGGTTGTTTCCACCTTTTGGCTATTGTGAATAATGCTGCAACAAAGTGAATAGTGCTGTTATGAACGTGGGTGTACATATGTCTGTTCAAGTCCCTGCTTTCAATTCTCTTGTGTGTATACCCAGAAGTGGAATTGCTGAATCATATGATGATTCAATGTTTAGTTTTTTCAGGAATCACAATACTGTTTTCCATAGTGGCTGCACCATTTTACATTCCCAACAGCAATGCATGCAGGTTCCAATTTCTCCACATCTCCACCAACACTTCTTATATTCTGTTTGTTTTTTATAATAGCCATCCTAATGGGGGTAAAATTGGCTTCTCTTCACGGTCTTGATTTGCATTTTCCTAACGATTAGTGATGTTGAGCATCTTTTCACGTGTGTATTAGTCATCCGTATGTCTTCTTCGTTGGAGAAATGTCTATTCAAATCCTTTACCCACTTTTTATTTTTTGTAAAGATTTTATTTTTACTTTTTCTCCCCAAAGCCCCCCAGTATACAGTTGTGTATTTTTAGTTGTGGGTCCTTCCAGTTGTGGCATGTGGGATGCTGTCTCAGCATGGCCTGATATGCAGTACCATGTCAGCGTACAGGATTCGAACCAGTGAAACCCTGGGCAGCCAAAGCAGAGCGTGCAAACTTAACCACTTGGCCATGGGGCCAGCCCCTACCCACTTTTTGAGTGAGTTGCTTTTTTGTTGTTTCCCTTGGTTGATTTTTGTAATGGTTTTCTATTCATTGTATTCATTCTTTATTTCTTTTCTCACCTCTTCTTTTTCTGCCGTTTCTAGTTTTAACTATTTTATATGACTTAATCCTATCTCGTCTCTTAGCATATCAATTATACTTTAAAAAAAATTTAGCGGCTGCCTTAGAGTTTTCGGTGTACACTTTAACTTATCTAAGTCCATCTTCAAATAACACTATACTGTTTCATGCATAGTGCAGGTAACTTAGAATATCCCCAATTCCTCCCTCCCTTAGGACATTACTATCATTCATTTCATTTCTCCATTTGCTATAATCACCCAATACATTGTTACTATCATTAGTTTAAACAAACTGTTACCTGTTAGATCAATTAAGAGTAAGAAAAATAAAAAATTTCATTTTACCTTCATTTATTCCTTCCAATACTCTTCCTTCCTTTATGTAGATCTGAGTTTCTGACCTATATCATTTCCTTTTCCCTGAAGAACTTCTGTTAATATTTTTTGCAAGGCATTCTTCACTTCTGTTGCAGTTTTTGATTTCTAACATTTCCTTTTGATTCTTTTTTCAGAGATTTCATCTCTCTACTTATATTACCCATCTGCTCTCATATCTTATCTCCTTTTTCCATTAGAACCCTTAGCATATTAATCATAGTTATTTTAAATTCCCTGTGTGGTAATTCCCAAATCTGTGTCACATCTGAGTCTGGGTCTATTACTTGCTTTGTCTTTTCAGACCATGTTTTCTCTTGCCTTTTAGCATGCCTTGTAACGTGTTGTTGAAAGCCAGCACAATGTATTGGATAATAGGAACTGAAGTAAACAGTAGGCCTTTAGTGTGAGGTTTAATGTTAATCTGGCTAGAAGTTGGGCTGTGTTTAATGTTTCCAGTGGCCGTAGGTGCTAGTGGTTTCAAATTCCTCTGGTGTCCTTGTTTAGTCTTCCCTGTCTTCTCTGGCTTTCCCTAGAAACTCTTTCTCAGAGTCTGCATCTCGCAGCTCTTTCAGCTGCAATCCACTGCTATTATACTGGAGCCCTGTTGGTGAGGTGGTAAGGAGTCGTGAGGGAAAGTGTTCTACAATCTTGTGATTGAAGCTCAGTCTTTTAATGGGCTGTGTTCCTATGCTGTGGCCTTCACAAGCATTTCTTAGGGTTTTTCATCCCGTTAGGCGAGACAGGAAGGCTAGAAGGTGTTGAAGTGGGAGAAGTGCCCTCCCCCCAGTTGGAACAAAGCTCTGGTTATGTCTTGTCTCTTGGAAAGTAAGCCCTTGTTATGGAGGATGTACTCGGCTTATTTCACAATGGTTACTCTTCCCCTATCTCTGCCAGAGCTACAAGCATATCTTTCTTGGCTTTTTATTACGAAAACTGGGTGGGATTCCTGGAGGTAAAACCTACGAAAGTGTGGGAGCCCCCCTAAGACCAAGGCCCACAGGAGTTTCTCACTCTCTAGGTAGTCCACACTCAACCTATAGCAATTGGTCAAAATGACCATTTAAGTGCTCCAACCAGTTTGTGACTCCAGCGACTTCTGCTCCAGGTAAGCAGATACCTGCTGTGACCCTTTGAACCTGCCTGTCTCTCCAGACTTCAGGGTGGCAGTTCATCCTGCAACCTGAGTTTCCTAATGGCTCCAAGAAGTCATTAGTTTTCAGTTTGTTCATCTTTTTCTTCTAAGAATGGAAGTGAAAACTTCTACACTCTACAGGCTGGAAGTGTAAGTGGAAATCCCTCCCCAGGTTGTTTTTGATTTAGTATCTTAGCTGGGATGGGTGGGGGCAGTTTCATAAGCTTCCAATTGGATAGCCCTGACGCCTTACAGGCCAAGAATTCAACATGGGGGTTGTGCCAACTGCCAAGGATGTCTATTCTAAATGTATATTTATAGATTGGGGACATGACAAATGGGTGGGTTTGAGAACCCATGAAAACTACTACGAGCTGGACCTGGGCCAGACCTCCATTCTAGACTCCCATCTGCCCCCACTAACAGAGAATCCATAAAGACACTTTCAGTCTCTTAGTATCAACTTCAGTTCAGATTCTATATCCAATTGTCCCTGAAATGTTTGAGTATTCTCTTTTCCCCACTGCATGGCTATCTAAATAAATGTCTATAAATCACCTAGGGAAAGGACTCAGGGAATTATTACTGTACACATTTGTTATGGTGTTGTACACTCCTTCTCCTGGGGACATGGCTTTTCCCTTAATCAATATATCCTAGGTCCAAAATATGGTAGTAGAACCAAATGTTAGGGACAAAATGGAATTGACTAATGCACGTGCATTAAAGAAAAATGAAACTTAACCTTACCTAACATAAGTTGCAGGAATTTACAGCTCTTCTCAGAAGTCAGCAGAGGACACTAGCCAATCCCAAACGCCAAGTCTGTTCTTGCCATCTTTGTACTTCCTTGTTTCCCTGACTCAGCTACCCTAATACAAATAGGGAAGAAGACCACCAGGCAACCAATCAGCTGAAAAGGCCAAACTTCTGCATTTATCCCATAAAAACCCTTTAGTCCATGAGCAACTCGGAACTCATTGTTCCCATAGCCTTGAGTTTTCTGGCTTGCAGGTCACAACATTTGTAATAAATTCATCTTTCTTATTTGTTTTACTCAGTGTGCAGAGTTTGGTTTTTGACATGGTTCAAGTCCAGAAACTGGGTAAGTTTTCGTTGGGGCAATTCAACCTCTTGATTTCCCATTCTTGATTCATTTTGGTTGTTCAGATTGAGGACTTTCTTTGATAGATGCCCATCTATTTTGCCCTAGATCCCTTCTTCTATTAACTGTCTCTATACTCTCTGTGAGTCAAGCCCCTTTGATTGCAGTTCTACGTTGTCACATCCACCTGGCTTCTAATGTTTAAATGCCACCATATGATCTACATGTTACAGGGTCCTATTACCTCTACTGCACTCAGGGATCCCAGTTCTGAAATGGCACCTTCTACCTTCAGCCCTGGACTACAGGGAAAGCCACCACCGAACTTCTGAATGGTGTTGATGCCTCTCTTACCAGAAAATTCCTTATTGATTTGGAAAGTGGTATATCCTCTGAACTTTCCTACGGAATATTTTCATCTGTTGTTTTCCACCTTTATGTAAGTATTTTCGCTCTAGCACATTCATTTCTTTGAGCTGTTCAATCTCCTCTTACACTGTCAATCACAGCAGTTCTGGCATTTCTACCTAACTTGGTGCGCTGTGGGCCATTACTTTTCCCATGCTTCTACATGACATCTTAAGTGTGTTCCCACCATCAATTGGGGTTCTTGAGCGAGTGTTAAATCCTGTACCCTGGAAGAGTACTCCCAAATTGATAAATTCTCCCTTATCTAACTTTATGTTCCACCTCCCACGTCCCTTCTTTATTTAGAACCTTGAGAATTCAGTCCCATGCACACTCTCCTGGCTTCTGCTGGTACCTGTTATCTGGCTCCTGCAGCTTCTTTGGGGTAGGGTCACTTTCCAATATTATCAGCACTAGGATGTCCTTGCAATATCATATGTTGTGACTTAACCCTGATTATTGCCTAGTAGTCAGCAGGAGAAGTGGGGGTGTGTACTAGGGGAAGTGCTTAATATCCTGCAGAGAAGAGGCCTCTCATTATCTCACAAGGAAGGGGGACTAGCTTTTAATAGGGAGGAGTGGAGCATTTCAACAGGCTCAGCAGGTCGAAGGGAATTTAGGGATTTTAAGATTTTTTCAGTATGTTAACCTAAATGTCTCCATCCCATGTGTCGGAGTCCCACTCTTTCCCAACCAGCACTCTCACCTTGACATATCATGCCTGCCTAAGTGGAGAGTTTAATCTTCTTTGGAAGTTTCCACTTGGCTTTCTGCTACTGTTATGTTTTGAATCCTGGGACTGGTCCTCAGTTTTCTCTGCCTTCTCACTGCAGGAGATGAGAACCTCTATATATGCTCCCCAGAGGGTCTTCTGGTTTTTGCACTTAGCTTTGAATTGCAGATTAATCACTCTCAGCCTTTCAGTTACCTCTCTCCAATGTTTCAAATTCCACATAGCAATAGCTGTCAAATTCCAACCTGCTTGTAGGTGACTATTTTCCCCATACTTTGAGAAAAACACCTCCTCTTTTGCTGCACACCACATGCTCTTTCCCAGAACATGACAAGTCAAACTTGTAACAATTGCCCTGCTTTCTTGTGGTAGCTACATTGTACCCGCCACCACTGATTCATTGTGGGCCAGCAACTGGTAGCCAACTCCAAAATCCAATCATAGTGTCTGCTTTCTTGGACCACTTCTGGCACCAAATCTTTTAGGTTGAGTTCCATGAAAAGTACACTCTGAGGCAAAGATTAAGATTCAGGAAGTTTATTAAGGAGTCCACTTGGGGTCAACACCAGTGGAAGGGAAGAGAAGAAAGTAGGATCAGAGGGAAAAATTGTGCTGTGATGCTGTTGTATAATAAATGATTTGACTGGCCTTTGTCCCTGGTTCCTGAGAGGTAACTTTTAAGTGCCTGGAATTTCCCAAATGATAGGAGTGTCTTTGTTACTTATGGTGGGTCCTTGGACCACATCTGAGTTTATGCTAATGAAGTGATTCAGGATGAGGGCTGGTCATGTGAGAAAGACCAACCATGTGATCAAAGGGTTGAGGCTTTGAGCCTCATGATATCAGCTTAACTTCCTGACCTCTAGGGAGGGGAAGGGGGCTGGTGATTGAGTTCAGTCAAAGAGCCAATGATTCAATCAATTATGCCTAGGTAACAAAACCCCAATAAGAACTCTGGACACTGAGGCCCAATGGAGCTTCCTGGTTTGTGAACACATTGATGTGCCAGGAGGGTTCATATACTAATTCCACAGGGAGAAGTTACAAAAGCTCTGTGTTCAGGACCCTCCCAGATCTCACCCTATGTGTCTCTTCATTTGGCTGGTCCTTATTTGAATCCTTCACAATAAAACCGTAAAAATCATGAGTATAGTGCTTTCCTGAGTTCTGTGAGTCAATCTAGCAGATTAGTGAATCTGAGGGACTTGTGGGAAACCTGAATCTGTAGCCAGCTGGTCAGAGGCACAGATGACCTGAGGACCCCTGAACTTGTGGATGGCATCTGGAGTGCCAGCAGTCTTGTTGGAGACTGTACTCCTAACTTGTGGGGTATGAGATAACTCTGGGTGGTTAGCGACCAAACTGACTTGTAGTACAGAAGATGACATTATAACAATGGCCTCAGCTGATCCCATAGGGAGCTCTGATGCTCTGAACTCACAGTTGTCCCAAGTTTGGGAGAGGGGCAAGGTGCTTATACTTCCACAACGTATCCAGACTGCCCTTTGGCAGCTCTCTTTAGCCAAGGAAATTCTTGAAGGGAGCTGAAGGTTGTCTGCAGGTAGCACTCCCAAAGACTGAGCAATGTTTTTCATTCTTTTTTATTATTATTATTAAGGTTATAAAAGTTAACATCCTTGTGAAATTACAGTTGTACATTATTATTAGTCATGTTGTAGGTACACCACTTCACCCCTAGTGCCCTCCCCCCACCCCCCTTTCCCCTGGCAACCACCGATCAGTTCTCTTTGTCCATATGTTAACTACCACCTATGAGTGGAGTCATACAGAGAGTTCGTCTTTCTCTGTCTGGCTTATTTCACTCAACATAATACTCTCAAGGTCTATCCATGTTGTTGTGAATGGGACGACTTTGTCCTTTTTTATGGCTGAGTAGTATTCCATTGTATATATATACCACAACTTCTTTATCCAATCATCAGTTGCTGGGCACTTAGGTTGGTTCCATGACTTAGCTGTTGTGAATAATGCTGCAATGAAGATAGGCGTGCATGGAACTTCTGGAATTGCTGATTTCAGGTTCTTAGGATATATACCCAGTAGTGGGATGGCTGGGTCATAAGGTATTTCTATTCTTAACTTTTTGAGGAATCTCCATACTGGAGATTTCCATAGTGGCTGCACCGGTTTGCATTCCCACCAACAGTGTATGAGGGTTCCCTTTTCTCCACAGCCTCTCCAACATTTGTCACTCTTGGTTTTGGATATTTTTGCCATTCTAACAGGTGTAAGGTGATATCTTAGTGTAGTTTTGATTTGCATTTCCCTGATGATTAGTGATGATGAGCATCTTTTAATGTGTCTATTGGCCATCTGTATATCTTCTTTGGAGAAATGTCTGTTCATGTCCCCTGCCCATTTTGTAGTTGGGTTATTTGATTTTTTATTGTTGAGTTGTGTGAGTTCTTTGCATATTATGGAGATTAACCCTTTGTCAGATAAATAACTTGTGAATATTTTTTCCCAATTAGTGGGCTGTTTTTTTGTTTCAATCCTGTTTTCCTTTGCCTTGAAGAAGCTCTTTAGCCTGATGAAGTCCCATTTATTTATTCTTTCTACTGTTTCCCACATGTGAGGGGTTATGGTGTCCGAAAAGATTCTTTTGAAGCTGATGTCAAAGAGTGTGCTGCTGATATTCTCTTCTAGAAGACTTATTGTTTCAGGTCTAATCTTTAGGTCTTTGATCCGTTTTGAGTTTATTTTAGTAAATGGTGAAAAAGAATGGTCGATTTTCATTCTTTTACATGTGGCTGTCCAGTTTTCCCAGCACCATTTGTTGAAGAGACTTTCTTTCCTCCATTGTATGCCCTCAGCTCCTTTGTCAAAGATTAGCTGTCCATAGATGTGTGGTTTTATTTCTGGGCTTTCAATTCTGTTCCATTGATCTGTGCATCTGTTTTTGTACCAGTACCATGCTGTTTTGATTACTGTGGCTTTGTAGTATGTTTTGAAGTCAGGGATTGTGATGCCTCCAGCTTTGTTCTTCTTTCTCAGGATTGCTTTAGCAATTCGGGGTCTTTTGTTGCCCCATGTGAATTTTTGGATTCTTTGTTCAGTTTCTGTAAAGAATGACATTGGAATTCTGATTGGGATAGCGTTGAATCTGTAGATTACTTTAGGTAGTATGGACATTTTAACTATGTTTATTCTTCCAATCCATGTGCATGGAATGTCTTTCCATCTCTTTGTGTCGTCGTCAATTTCTTTCAAGAAGGTCTTGTAGTTTTCGTTGTATAGATCTTTCACTTCCTTAGTTAAATTTATCCCAAGGTATTTTATTCTTTTTGTTGCGATCGTGAATGGGATTGAGTTCTTGAGATCTTTTTCTGTTAGCTCATTGTCAGCATATAGAAACGCTACTGATTTATGTATGTTGATTTTAAACCCTGCAACTTTGCTGTAGTTGTTGATTGTTTCTAATAGTTTTTCTATGGATTCTTTGGGGTTTTCTATATATAAGATCATGTCATCTGCAAACAGCAAGAGTTTTACTTCTTCGTTGCCTATTTGGATTCCTTTTATTTCTTTTTCCTGCCGAATAGCTCTGGCCAACACCTCCAGTACTATGTTGAATACAAGTGGTGAAAGTGGGCACCCTTGTCTTG